GAAAAATCCCTGTGTTTTCTGCCCATTTTTCACAAAAATGGCAGCGTTTTTGCCTTCCCCCAGCCCTGCTGAAGCCTGCAGAGTGTTCCTGGGGGTCGGGAATACAAAAACTTTTTTCCCCTACTGGATAGTTTGCAGGCGCTCCCTTAGCTTCGGCGAGGCAGGAATGGCCCCCCTGTCAAAACTATTCGCCATCGTTTCAGTGGGCATGGTTTGGTGAGGGGGTCATGTGACTTGAGTGCGTGAGTGATGTCAAGTTGGCCATGGCCACCCAGTCACATGCCCCCCATCTAGCCACACCCACCGAAATGGTAATAAAAAAATTTGAACTCACCCCTGGTATAGCTTCCATACCATTCTCAGCCTCAACACCATCTGGAATGCATCCAGAAAACCTGCTTCATCCAGGACAACTAGAGCTGCTGTCTCACCTTCTTCTCAACAAGCTATGCTAAAATGGGAAGATTGGAGATAAGCCTGCAATTGATGATGTGGGCTGGTTTAAGGGAAATCATCAGGATCACCCCTCCCTCACAGAATTATTTCTGCTACCCAAACTCAGCATCTCATCTCCTTCCTGGCAACCAAAATCAATGAAGGAAAAGATCAGGCTCACAGGGGCAGGGCATATTTTACAGTGAACCCTGCCAACTGCTCAAAGAACATAGGTTCATATAAATCCCGGGTGTCTTTGGAAGGTATCAGCCCTGTCATAGCTTCAGCTCAATCAGCCTCTAGCTCCTCCAATAAATTATTAGTGCTTTTGTTCATAAGGTGCTTGGCAGAAAGATCCCAATAGCCAGTGGCCAGTCTCCCTGATCTGTTGCTCCCTTAGAAAGAGGGAATAACCAAAACAAATGACTGGTTGACAATCTACAAACCTGAGTATGAAGAAGTGTGCTTTGCTGTTCCTTCCACAACAGTGAACACCCAAAGTGTTGTCAGAGCCAAAAACTGATGTCAAGGGCAGATTCTTGGTGGTTCTCTGAGGAAAAAGAATGAGAAAACTATTTGTTTGCACTACTTTGTGGACCACTGTAAAACACATGGAGAAATTTTGTGGCTAATGAAAATTAAAGTAGGGTTAGTTCTCTTTGGAGTCTCGGCTAAAAGCTGATGTCAGGGACAGATTCTCAGAGATTCTCTAAGGAAAATGCCAGTGAAAGTTTTTTAGTCAAATTTCTTGGTGGACCAAAGTATTGGAAAATCCCATTGCTAAAGAAAATTAAAGATTATTGGAAACTCCTGCTCAGAAAGCAGCTAATGGACATGCACCATGGTTATTCTCTATCCCGCAGCTGTCCTGGACTAATCTCCCTCTCCCTGCATTCTACTCATCCACTGAAAACATATCATCTCTATCTAATGTGCTGCTCCACTTGTGATTTCACCTTGTTCTCCATTCTTTCTTCCATTTTTGCCTAATCATGTACCTTAGAGAGAACCCAGGACTGGGGACAACCATCTCCCACATGCCTCCAGATTCCTGTCCTTGCTAACATTATGAATTATTGCCCTTTTTCGTTGGCTTCAGATGGAAACCTTCAGTTTTCCAATTCTGTATAGTGGAATTCAATAATTTCAGGATGTTTTTCAGTGAAAAAAATGCAATCAGAAATCAGAGCTTATTTACCGGTGGTTTTAACAGCAGTGGGAATTATTCTCAGTTTGAACTTTTTGTATACTACTCAGAAATCTTCTAATGGGTAAAGTTTAACTTGATCTTCTTAAAGAAATGTAAGTCATATCTTAAATTATCAAACTTTTTTTAAAAAAAATTAGATAAGTGGATGTTCCCCTTTCAATCTCTTGCTTTTGTTAGAAGAAATAAAGACGTTTCCCTGACTTTATGATCTTTTGGTTTTGAATTAAAGGCAGTTTTGCACATTCTCTTTTCTGCTGACTCTGCTTCTAAGAAGCACTCCCGGCCTGCAAAGCAGCATTTGGCAAGTATGCAAAGCATGATCATCTCCTCATTTAAGCACCTCCAGAAAGCAGCCTGGCTTTTCAAGAGTGCTTCATATCGAAGCAAAGTGAGAAGGGATGTCAGGTCTATGCATATCCTCTGACAGAGGTAAAATCATGAAAAGGCAGCTCTGCCATTTTTGCTCCTGGAAACAAACACACAGGAATGCACACTTCTGATGCAATTCTCACTTTTAAACAAAACAATACACTACTTCTGGACTCTAGCACAATTAAATGATTCTTTTGTTTCAGCTCACTGCTTAAGGCAGTGTCCAGTAGGCATTTGTGCATAACATTCTGAGAGTGAGATGGGCAGTATTTAATTTAGATCGAGACTGATAAATTATAGTTAATAAGAGATGGGGGGAGAGGGGGAGGGGATAATATGGAGGGAGAGAAAGAGAGATGGAGAGATAAGAGAAATAGAGATAGATAGAATCACAGAACTGGAAGGCATCTTAGAGATCTTCTAAATCAACCCGCTGCTGAAAATAGGAAGCTGATAGATGATAGAGACAGGTAGATGGTAGAATATATATATTTATTTATCAGCACAAATGCAACATACATACATACATACATACATACATACATACATACATACATACATACATATACACACACACACATACACACACACACACATACATATGCACACGCGCAAACACACACAGTATATATGATAGACAGATAGATGAGAGAGCGAGAGCGATACAGCAGTTATCCTGTAGTGCCAGAGGTTGGCACAAATGCCTACTGGACACTGCCTTA